AACATTTACAGCAATTTTTATTGTTATCTCTAAAAAGGTTTTAAGTGTTATAAATTTCAGAAATTTGTGTTCTTATCACTTCTGAACTCTTGTTCCACATTGACAGTGACAGTAAAAAAAATACCCAGGTCCATCATGACAGAGAAACTGCCTTCAAATCCATCCTCTTCATATCATTCTTAAAGTCTCCAATAATACCCAGGCAACTTATAAAGTAAAATCCGGTTACTTTACAGCTCACAAAGAGCCTCAGACAGACAGTCCACTAGACAGATAACGAAAGCTCTCCATTTGAGCTATATGGCTTCTTTTAACCAGACTAAGCCGGTGTGAGACACAGGGAAGTCTTCACTCAGACAGAGTTGAATCGTAAACTGATCTTGTTCGATTTTTCCCCTCCCTCTCCTCTCTCGGTCCCCGTGCCTTTCTTYCCTACGCTCTCAAAGGGAGAGAAGGATGGTGGCACTTCACAGAGGAATAGGCCCTCTCTTCATCTTGCCAGCTGAGGAGACCCCCCTGCATCATCTCTATATCCGTTTAGCCGGCTGCAAGCTCTAGAGAGTCTGCTGGCTTCAGCTGCGCGTTAGAACCACTGAGGAGCTTTCAAGACAAAATCCACCTTCTGAGCCTTCTGTCGAGTATGTGTGTGTGTGTGTGTGTGTGTGTGTGTGTGTGTGTGTGTGCACGCATGAATTTCAAGTTGCTCTCCACAGGCCACCTCAGTTATCTGCGTCACATCACAAGGTTCCCTATTAGAGCCAGACAGAAGGGTCCAGGCTGTGCCTGCTCACTTTAACAATGTGAGAGAGAGAGACGGACGAATGGGGAAGAGCGTCTGGGAGATGGATGAAGAGGGGGAGAATCTACCTCCCACCCTAGAAGCCTCACTTTGTCGGGGTTTAGCTGAGACTTTAGCATTGATCTGTCTTGTCTCTACTCCACAAGCAGAGGAGAAAGGGAGGCAGCTGAGGCTCAGCATGTGTGTTAAACAACAGATCGAACAGGAAGAGGGGCACATGAAAGCAGAAGAGCCAGCAGAGTTTGAAAAAGCCTTCAGAGATGACAAGCCTGTAACTCCATCTGTGCACAACTTAATGGATTTCTTCCATCTGTCTTTCTATCAATTGAAGCAACAGGCAATAGTGAAGTGTAACAGTTTAAAACATGAAGCTCAAGGCACTTTATTGATTTAGTAAAGGCACAATTACATCTTTTTTTAAAGACAGGAATTTGACCTAATATACTCAGATAAGTTGAAGAACTTTAGAAGTGCAGTTTATTAAATAATTAACCCTAAAGTAAAGTTACTTATTTTTGGTACTATAATAAAGCAAATAACCCTAAAACTGGTTCAGTTCAACTGTTCTTCCACTAATTTGGCAAGAGAGATGCAGCGGCTGGTTAAATACTCTGTCAAAGGTGATTTTTGTTTTAAAAAGTAAATATTTTCTGGCTTAGATTTGACAAATGAGCAGATTTTCTGACTACCTTCACCATAAATTACAGGAAATTGAGTTTGTAAAAAAATATACAACAATTTAGCAAATTTACTAGGGGTGCACGATTGCAGTTTTCTGGAYGATCACCACTCTTTAAAAAGCCTGATTTGCCCATTCAATTTTTGGCCGATACAGATTTTTTATAACTGACACTGTCAGGTGTTATTACGGTCATAATACGTCTTCAATGTTCAAATTTTATTTTATTGAAAAACACTGAACTTGAAACCAGTGCTGTTCCAATCGTTMGGTCACAGATCATTAATCGCTGATTTCCATGAAAAAGAATGTGATCCAAGTTTTCCAAAAAATGCCTTTCACTGCCGATCACAAAAAGTGATCACCTGTAGCTCCTACTTTGCAGCCTGCAGAAGCCCCCTGTGTGCAGTGGAGTGCGCCCCTCACTCTTCTGCCCAGCAGTGGGAAGACATTGCGTAGCCACGCGCAGAAGAAGCAAATCATAAAAAAGATGTCTTCTATGTGGAACTTTTACACAGTCTCTTAGGTTACATTCACACTGCAGGCAAATCTGACCCACTTCTGATTTTTTTATGACAGTCTGAACACGACAAATCCAATTTTTTCAAATCCAACCCAGGCCGTTTCAGTATGTGGTTTTAAATCGGATATATATCTGATGTTTTCAAAGTGACTGCAGTGTGAACGCTCATGTCACATTCCATCTGACTTTTTCATCAGTGAGGAGGGGGTGAAGGATCGATAAGACACTAACCTCAAGTCTCGCTGTTTAAATCTGTAGCTCCATGTGTTTACAGCTCCAAAACACAAGTCCAGTTGCTTCTAGGGGTGTCCCGATCCGATATCAATATCGGATATCGGTCCGATATCAGCCAAAAAACGAGTATCGGATTTTATCGGACTGCATAAAAAATGTCCGATATAAGCGCTCCGATATTAGCAGTCCGTTCCAGCATTTCACTGACTCCGCTCCAGTGTTTCTATCCAGCAGCGCTTGGATCCTGCTTGTAGCACTCACGTGATCACAACAGCAGCAGCGCTAATGGTGCGTTCACACCGAACGCGATTTCAGCTTCAAAATCGCAGCCAACACTGAAGTCTGAAGCTTGTGCAC